GGGGGGGTCAAAATCACCGACAATTACCTATACCGGACCGGCCAAACAAAGGAAACTTTATTGCATTCAAATTTAGAGATAAAGCACAAAAATATATATTTACATCATCATGTTATACTCTAAGTATCAGTAAGCATCTTTAAAGGTTTGTTCACACAGCACAGCGTTTTATTGCGCACATTCCGTACCTGCATTTGTCAGATAGCAACTCATTTGCCACAAACTTGTGGGAGGGTTAAATTGTAATTGTGCAACAAAAGTGTGAAGTTTAGCGAGTCATTTTCAAACTTGCAGCTCAATTGCTTGCTATCTGGGTTGTCAGCGGTGTGAACATGCGCGGCAGCTGTTGTTAAAATGCATTGCAATGCTTGTTCCTTTCCTCCTTTTCTGAGGTCTGTGTCGTTCGATGGAGCAGCAGTGCGATGACGTGAATTGTAAAGGCGCTTTTGTGTGCTGCAAAAAAAAAAAAGAATGAAGGAAGGTTGGAGTTTAGCTGATCCCCTTCACCCCAAACTCTGACCTCTGTCTTCATATCCTAACCCCTCATAACATCCCCGAACGCTCGCGTGCGTCACCTCAGAACTCTCCTCCTGGGAACTCTGTATATAAATATGAAGATTCGGAACTTCTCCCAGAATCAGATCAATGCTGAAAAAACCGCCCCGACGGAGGGTGCCGCCCTAGGCAAACGCCTAGTTTGCCTCGCGGTAAATACGCCCCTACATCTTGTATTACCTGAGCCAACAAAAGGGGATCATAAAACTCCAAACTTCCTCCCAGAATTCGGGTGCCCGGCACCTTACGGACATCGGCCGTTTTTCGCATGCGATCGCGTCTCCGTCCGCTATTCGTACAATTGATGGGCGCTGTACAACCGCAAATACTGTACAATCGATCGACTTTTGACCAACCGGCAGCTTAGAAAACTTCGGCCGATCGGTACCATGTTCGCATGGGTCGGTGGCGTTTCCGTACGTCGAAATTCGTACGATCCGCACCGCACGCGCGCAGACGAAAATACGCGCGGTTCGATTGCCGCAGTTCGTCCAGGTGCGTTCTTTTCATATAATCGGGGGCCGGGTGGGGCCGCCGTACGAAAATCGCACCACGGTTCCATCACCGGACGAAAAGTGTCATCCGATCATCGCAAGGTGTATGGGCAGAATAAAGGCGCCCATACACTGCACGAGAATCGCGGGAAATCCCGCCATCGTACGAGAATCGCGCAGTGTAGCGTGCGACCGTTTCCAATGTGCGGTCGCACGACTTTTGTATATCGCGCATGTTGGAAAACCCGCCGAGAATCGTACGATTTTCGGCTGGTTTTTAACATGATGGAGAGACAACAGCATTGCGGTCATCGGAAGCCCCGCCCCTCAGTGGGGGCGTGGCTTGCGATCATCGCAAGTACGATCTCTAACGAGGACCATAGCAGAGTATCTCTAACGAGGACTATAGCAGAGTATGTCTAACGAGGACTATAGCAGAGTATCTCTAACGAGGACTATAGCAGAGTATGTCTAACGAGGACTATAGCAGAGTATCTCTAACGAGGACCATAGCAGAGTATCTCTAACGAGGACTATAGCAGAGTATGTCTAACGAGGACCATAGCAGAGTATCTCTAACGAGGACCATAGCAGAGTATCTCTAACGAGGACCATAGCAGAGTATCTCTAACGAGGACCATAGCAGGGTGATAATTGGTAACGAGGCGGTACAAGGTCTCCTGTTCTTAGTATTGGAGCGCGGGGTGCGGGACGTAGTCCCTGGTTACCTGAGCCGGTTAGTACACAGAGGGGGTCACACACACTCAGAGCGCTCCGTAGCTGAGGACGCTCCATGTACACAACAACTAATGACATACACACATCAGTCACTGAGATCTGAGGGCCACACACGCCTTCTACACACACATGGAGACACGCTATACATAGACACACGCATGATACAACATAGTAACAGGATCACACTCATCACACGCCTAGAGGTCATAGGTCGCAAAATCACATTCCCTACAAAATGTTTTATTATTTCATTTTCCACCTAAATGTGAATTTATTGAGATTTCGGGACGTGATTCGTACGGCATAGAACTCTACTCCCCGTCGCCCCTCTACTCCCTGCTGCCCCTCTACTCCCTGCTGCCCCTCTACTCCCTGCTGCCCCAAGGCCGGGCTTTGGTTGGCCTTGTGGGAAATCCGGCCCTGGTTGGTTGTAGACATGGCATTGGACCCGTGTCATGGGTTTCATTGGACGCCCAACTTTTTTGGTGTTGAGTTTCCATTGCAAAGTTTTGAGCGTTGATGGTTTTGGCAGAAGAAAATATTGATATGAAGCTCACACAGACGTTTTGCAGCAATTTCAGGCCAGAATTTTCCCTTCTTCAGATGAGAGACAAATGTAGTAACAATGTAACGCATGTAATGTATCTGACGGAGGTATTTCCGGTTCCGGTTGGATAGTTTGCTACAATGTGTGACGCTGCAACTGGACTTTTCTCTGTATATTCGGCCCCAGGGAATGTTATCCAGGAAATAAAACAACGTTTATGATTCTCAGATCACCTTTTCCTGTATTCAGATTTAGGGTTGCCACCTGTCCGGGTTTTGAATGCCGTGTTCGGGTTTCATGGCAGCAGAAATCCGGACACGAGATGTCAGGCAGACGGGGGCAACCGAAATTAAAGGAGAACTCCTCATAGTTCGAGCCGACCTGTGACATTAGACTGTCACAGGTCGGCTCAGTAGATCGGGAGGTGAGCAAACACATACCGGCGTTCGCTCACTTCTCGATCCTGTCACAGCTCTCTGCCGTGACAGGGGGAGGGGCTGGATTCCCCCCTCCCTGCTCCCATCCGCCAGCGCTGACTGGCAGAGCGGACGGGGGAGGGGGCGGATACAGCTGGCTCTGCCTCTAGATAGGCGGAGCCAGCTGTCACTCACACAGCTGGGCGGATCCAGGCACAATTGTCGGGATCCGCTTCAGCTGCGGCGTCTCAGTATACCGCGAGCTGCAGCTCCCTATATACTGAGCCTAGGGTGACGGGAGGACGCTAGTTTGCGTCCTCCCGTTACCCTCAGGAGAACTATGAGGAAAAGCCCCGACCTCGTAGTTCTCCTTTAGACCCCGTTCACATTGAGCGATTTATCGCGCGGTAATTCCCGCGATATCGCGCTCCAATGCAATCCAATGGGGCAAAGGGTCCTGCTGTCGCGGGTCGTGTATCGCTACAGCAGGACCCTTTTTGGAGCGGATTTAGCCGCGATTCAAGCATGCTCAATGCAAGCTTGAACGCGACATCGCGCGGCAAATCTCGCGATGTCGCGTAATATGCAAATCGCGCGACAAACGCGCGATTGGCATATCGCGCAGTGGGAACGGGGCCTCAAGATCAGGGCTACTGCCCCCCCCCCCACCACCACCACTTTAAATAGTCTCCACTGTGATATTTACATATGAAGCCGCGACTCATTCTCCCCAAAATATCTCCGCTTGTGGCGCAACAAAACACCCAATCAAAATGAGGTGCCTGCCCCCTTCTGACATCACCTTCCCGCCAATTGTATGTAATCCTCACGATCTCGTGTGTGGGGCGGAAAGAGAGCTAACCAGGACGCGGAGATCGTCTCACCCCCATGTTGCTCAACTAATGAGGCCTGGATAATTGTTACCGAGATTACTGTCATGGCGGCTATGTCTACATACAATCGGCGGGAAGGTGATGTCAGTGTGATGTCAGGAGGGGGCAGGTACCTCATTTTGATTGGGTGTTTTGTTGTTGTTCGCCTGATGAGGGGACCTGTGGGTTCCGAAACGTCGCGCGGAGACGTTACAACACTTCAGTCAATAAAGAAATTGACTGGATTTCGTCTTGGAGTGCGAGTGACTTTTTCCGCTGGCTGCGTCTATAAACATAACGCAGCGATATGACGAGCGACGGAACTTTCCCCAGCCCAGCAATCACCGCCCCTCCCCCATCATCTTGGTCTCCATGTACATGTGAAGTAATGATGCAGTTGCCATAGAAACCAATCAGGCCCCGAGTTAAGCGCCGCCGTGTATTTAATTTCGCGCGCTCCCCCCCCAAAAAACCTTTTGATTAAAACAG